AGTCGCGTGGGGGGCAAGGCGGGTGTTGTTCGGGCACAGGATCCAGTTTTCTGCATGGTTTTGGGCTGAGGCAGCTTATGTTTCTGGTTATGATGGTTCCTTGGTCTTTTCATTTAATCATATTTTTGGTTCAGTCTGCATTTAAATGTCAAGCCAATGCCTATAGCATTAAGCATTACCAGAGCTGCTGGGGAAATTCCTCTGTTTCGTCTCCTCTTTGCTGGGGTTGGAGCAGGAGCCTTTTGCCATCGGCTTGAACACCTCTGACCTGTTTCCACCTTAGCAGGCGCTGGATGCAGAATGATAGTAAGGAAGGGGCAATCTGATGTAGATTTTCCCTAAGAAACCCAAGTATGTTTGTGGTGTTGCTGTAATTTATCTCTGCGCTCTTCAGATTTAGATTTGTGTACGAGAAGGTGGCATTTTCTTGAGTTATTTAAAACATTGCTGTTTGTATATCTGGGCTATTTTGTTTTTGTCCTTTGTCTGGGACTTGCTGTAAACCATGCTGAGCTTGCTTAGTGGATGAGCTAATGCTCAGTACTGCTAGCAAGCTGTCTCTGAACCCTGTGCGAAGCAAGCTCGGACGTACAGGAGGCAAAAATCTCAGTGCTCGTAGCTAAAAGAGCTTTCTCCCAGGTTGCGCTTGCAATGTGGTAGTGTGCTTGTTGAGCTGCGTCATTTACATCTGTCAAAACAGGTTGTAAAGACATGTGCTGTGCTTACCCCTATCTGAGTCTGAGTGTTTTTAGGGTTCTTCGTGTTTCCAAGTATGTGACCTGAAGTTAGATCAACAGCAAAATGTCCTGCTTTTGGGTTTAAAGATCATCTGTGAAACTCAGCAAGGCTTCTTCCTCTGTGTAGCTTTATGCAACTGGGATATGGGTGCGGTGGGTTTTTTTCTGCTGTATTTTCTCTGTAATCTACCCTTAAAACAATATCGGACTAGCTCAGCTGGGAGGTATGACCTGTGCTGACACATCCATGTACCGAGCAAACAAAGAATAGCAAGGCTATGTTCAATGCCTTTTGCATGGCACCATGCCAAATACTCTCTTAGAGAAAAACATTTAAGCTGTGGCTGTGTTTTTAATTATAAAACAAGACCCACAACGGCTGCTTCTTTTGGGATGCTGTGATTTTTTTCTTTTTTTTGCTGGAAAGATTGCAGCGTTGTGGCTCATGCGGCTCTCCCAGCCCAGCCTCTGTGTTGGAAGGACGGCAAACTTCTGCAGGAGGAACGCACTTCCAGAGCTGTCCCCAGGCATAGTTTGTTCTCCAGCTTGGCAGGAGCAGAAAGGGAGAGAAATCAAACCAAACCCAGCAATACTGCCTAACTGGGATGAGGTGGTAACCACGCAGGCAAAGGACGGGCAGGCGCTCCCGGGAACTGGGCTGAGCAACAGGTTGTTTCTCATCTGGTTGCTTGGCAGTTGGACAAGATTGTAACTGCTGTGAAGGTGGTAGAAATTGTGGCATTGCCCCTCATCTGCTGCTGCTGGGCATTTAACTGTTGGGGTATTAAATTGATGAAGGAGGGTAGCGGGGGGAAAAAGAGTGATAGTGGAGCTGGGGTAGGTTAAGGGATGAGGAAGGAAAGTGTTAAGAAACCGCAAGCCAGCTGCACTTGTGGGCAGTGCCTTGGAGTTCAAAGCTAAGCTTGTCCTTTTGTTGCTGAGCCAGCAGGACCGTGGAGGTTCAGAGGAAAGACAGGCAGTGTTTAGGGAGCAGATGACTTGGTGCTTTCCTGGTAGCATTGAAGGTTGTGGAATTACATACAAGAGAAGAGGAATCGGGCAGAAAAAGTAGAAAAAGGAGGAAGGAGGTAGGAAAACCCTTTTTCTGGGATGATTTTGGGGTTATAGGTTCTTAGCACTGATGCAGATTGTTAAATTGAAACCAGTAACACTGCCCACTCTCATGCTTGTTTTTCAGCCAGTACTTGAAAATTGTTTGAGTCATGCTTGTCACAGAGCTGGCAATTGTAAGACTAAAATGATGGCTATCCACATATGTCTGGGCAGCCCCTGTGTTCTACGGTATTAATAATTTGGTTCCGTGGAGCAAGAAGAGTGCTGGCGAGACCATGCTCTCGGCTCTGCTAAGCACTTGCTGGCCCAGCAGCGTTTTTCGGTTCTGTCAGTAAAAATGCAGCGTAGCACTGAAATAATAAGCTCATGCGTGTGTCAGAGGGGGGATGTCAAACCTTGGCAGAGAAAGATTTCAATTCCAAGCTTGAGAGAACTGAAAAGTAATGGCTTTTCTTATCAAAAAACTGCTTGGCGTCTCTCGGGAACAGAATAAGGGAAAGAAATGAAAGGGCCTGGGGGTGGGTGTTGCAAGTAGGGTTAATTGTTCCTGCCATCGAGATGCAGCACAGGAAAGTATCGTTAGGGGGAGATGACAGTTTCCTTTGTCTGAAACATGGACTTCCCGCTTCCAGGCGAGATATTAAATGTGCAATGCTTTTTTTGGAAAATGAACTTGTGTACCCAGGGGAAAGGCGGCTGCAGAACATGTCAAGATCTGCTGGTTATAAGGAGTTTAAATCTGCCTTTTCCCATCCGAGATTGAGAGATTAAAAAGCTGGGCTTCAGCACCACTGCTCCCTCAGCCTGTCTGCCTCAGGCTGTTGTGTTTTCACTAACATTGCTCATCCGAGCCCTTTAAATCCCCAGGTTTGCCGAGTAACATCAGCAGCAGGTGCAGAATGAAGACTGTGAAACTTGTGCCCGTGGATGTGAAGCATTTGCTGCTCCCCTTCCGTTACGCGCGCGCCGGCCGTCCTTTCTCCGAGTTCCTGCCTCGTGAGCTGGATGTTGTCAGCTCCGAATGCTGTTTGACTGAGTGTTCTTTTTTTATTATTATTCAGGTGTTTTAAGGAACTGGAACCATGACGGACTCCAAATACTTCACGACCAATAAAAAAGGTTAGTGTTAAGCTGGTGCGGTGGATCGGAGGTGGTGGGTGGCTATTTTTACACAGCTTTTTTGACTGTGTGCAGAAGAACTTGTGCTTTTCTGTTAGCTCTGTCCCTGTTTCTTGTCTTAATCATCCAGGGAGAAACTTCCGAAGTAGGTCACATGGTGACAAAAGACAAAACTGATGTATGTTACGGTTTTGTGATATACAGAATGACCCAAATTTCTGCTTTTCCAAAGATTAGAGAACAAAACATTGGGATGTGAGCGCAGATCTGGTCAGAGACAAAGCTCTAGTTATGGAGTAACAAGTTCAAGACTGAGGACGGTTGCTTTGTTGGGCATCACAGGATTAAGTTGATGGAGAGACATTGAATATTGAAGGTGTAAGTGTGTATCTCTGCATCAAGCTGTTGCGAAGATAATGGAATTTCCTATTGCTGCTTCCTTCAAAGCTGTAGGGCTCTGTTTGACTTTCCCTTGGCTTTACTGTAGGTGTGATGGTCACCTCACCTCAGGACAGACTGCTGCCATTGAAAATGAGAAGGTGGGAAAGGATCTTTGGGAACACTTTACCCATTCATCTGCTTCAGCGGAGGACTTGTTCTGCTGAAACTGTCCCGGACAGATTTTTTTTTTTTTCTCTCTTTCTCCTCCCCAACCTATTCTTAAAGTAGTGTTTTTCCCAACTCTTGCTGGCTGCACTTTAGGCCTGGTGTTGCTCATCTTTCTCCAGTGGATGTGGGAAATGGTTTGCACTAACCTCTGCTTTTCAGAATGACTGAATGTTTCTGCTGAATGCTTGCTAGTGAAAAAACTACAGCGTTGATCTATTTGTGTTTCATTAAGCTTCAGAATAAGCTCATAAACTAAGCAAATGCAGCTTTCATCTTTCTAAGGAGCTACTCTACGTGTAAGTTCAGTCCCAAAGTATCAGGCACATTTCTCTGGGAGGCTGCGAGAGGCCAGCCCGCACTGTCTGAGCTCTGCTGAGCACACTGCTGCTGGCTCAGCTCTGCGCCGGGCACCATCGCAGTGTGAGCAACGCGAGCATCACTTTCCCAGGCAGGAGGTGTGACGAGTGGTCACTGCACTGCGTTCTTCAGACAGTAACTTCTCTTCTTTTTCGAAGCACCTGTTAAGTCTTTTTGTGTCAGGGTCTTCAGTAATTAATGTTGCTGGTCTGACAAAATGTCGTTGGTGTGTAGGAGTCAAAGGTTAGGGGCTAGAATGTCTTTTTGTCGGAGCTATTTTGAGTTTTGTAATGTGCCCTCAGCCTGTGGCTTCCAGGGGGAATACCGCTCGTTGTCCTTCCTGGGGAAAGCTGTCTGTCAGTCAGGAGCATTGTCCTTCTCACACAGCTTGCTCTGTCTGGAACAAGCATGAGAAGTTGTCTTTTGCACGTGTTGCTGTATTTTACAAACTTGCTTTGCCACTGCAGTGACCCAGCCTGAACTGACTTTCCATGCAGTAATATCTGGAAGAAGTGGTGTTGTGGAAGAGGCTGCTTCGGCAACCTCAGAATCCAGGGAAGCTGTGTTACTTGCTACTTTTGTTAGTAGTAGCTCTGTCTTTCTAGCTCAGAAGGAATTTATTCCACTGGACTAAAAGAGTTTGTGCTTTCCTGTTTCTGCTGCTGTGTATCATGGCATTTGAGCTACACTGCAGTTGGCTGTTTTCTCATTGCATTCACAGGAAGCAGGCGATGATGAGCAGAAGTTAAAAAGTCTGGGCAAAATTCCTAGCTAAGTTAGGTTTTATTTTTTTCTTGCAGGCACTAATTTGGTGTCTCCAAATATCTTTTCATCCTGGTTATGTAATGGTTGCCTCTGAGAAACAGACACTGCAGTGATGTGGTTTCACGTTCTGGAAGTGGGAGAGCTGCAACATGCAGCGTGGTGCTTGTTAACTGCTTTTTCATTAGCAAGTTATAGCCCGTATCATTCTCTGAGTGTCACAGCTTTGCCTCTCGGTGAACCACGTTCCCTGTAACATCTGGCAGCTTCCACATGTTGCTGTGCCAATTTTATGGGAACAATGGTCTGGGAAAGTAAAAAAGTCACTTCGCAGCTATCCCCGAAGCCTGACCCTTTTCCTCTCCCAAGAAGCTCAATCTGTTTTGTCTTCTGCCAGGAGAGATTTTTGAACTGAAGGCTGAACTTAATAATGAAAAGAAAGAGAAGAGGAAAGAAGCTGTAAAGAAGGTTATTGCAGCCATGACTGTGGGGAAGGACGTCAGGTAAAAACAACTTTTCTTTCACCTGTAGCAGCTCTGGTTCTCCTGGGACTCGGTCGGGTGTAGTGGCACACATCTCCGTGAAGCAGCTGCGAGTTTGTCATCTCGGCTGGGTCGTGAGGCTGGCTGTGTCCTTGCCTATGCCGTGCCTGAGTCACAGGTTTCTCAAGCTCCTTCCTGCTGCTGGAAGCAAAAGAAACAATTGTTTTCAGCGTGGGTTTAGCTAAATGCCTATTAGCCCTTTTTATTTAAAAACTCATCCAGAATTCAACTATTTTATGTCACTTTAGATGATGCTTTCTCACTGCTTGCTAGCCTGGGTTTTAGTGTTAGAAAGGTAATTCCAAGTGTTTTTCTTAGCCTTACTTGTCATAGCATAGATGTAAGCTGCACTTTAAAATGGGTGGTTTTTGAACTGAACCTTTGCCTCTTAGCGACTGAAGGACACAGGCGTTTATCTCCTGCAACATAGTCCCCAGTACTTTTTTTCTGTCTGAGGCAACCAGAAAAACTTGCTTAAGTGAGTGCTTTCTCCCTTCCAGCTTCTCCTGTTAGTGGAGTCCACCATAAAGTCACAGTAGTCCTGGATTCACAGCAGTGTGGTCTGTTGCCACGGAAATTAATGTAAGGTTGCAAATTTAGCATCATGACTTCACTGGAGAACGAAGGAACAGATAAACTGGAAGGAACTAAAAATAATCCTTTTGGCCAACAGCAGTTGCCCTTCACCTTTAGATCTCTACAGCATACCTGAGAGCTGCAGATACCCTCGTGTAACTGCCTGTGTTCTTCTGCAGTGCTGTTCACAGATTGCTGCTTGATATAGGAGTGAAACGCAGCTTGTCAGTGTTTAAGCTCCTAATAGCTGTGGAGTTTACTGGTCTGAAATTTGGCAGGTTCTTTGTAAATGTCCTGCATTACCAGAACGTTTTTAAGCAGCTTTTTTCTTGTGGGACCAGCTCCAGGGAGAGCACGGTAGAGTCTTCTCATTCGGTGAACTCCCCAGTTAAAACCCGTTTAGGAAATGGCATTAGCTTTCACCTGTTCCCGAACTGACAGATGTTAAAGCCCTAGAAGAGTTTAAATGATAAAGCTATTATAAAAGCCATTGCAGACTGTTTTGGGAGAGAAGCTGACCTCTCATTAGACAGCAGGGCAGGTAGAGTGGAACTCCAATTTTCCTGGCTTCCTGGATATTGTTACTGTCCCTTTGCATACCATGTAATCTCATTGATTTTTCTCTGTTCTTGCTTTCTGTTGTCTATCCAGCTCGCTCTTTCCTGATGTTGTGAACTGCATGCAGACTGACAACTTGGAGTTG